TACAGAGAACTGTGAACACTACAATACGTTTAAATTTATCAAGAGGATTAAAAGCTCTGGCCTGGAAGGCAACCAGCAACTGCGTAACTTCTGAGGTAAGCGGCCTGCTTCGACTCACTGCTTCCTCTCTCTCGCTTGGCAAAAAGCCACAACTTAAATACTTGGCGTTCGCCAGACAAACTTTGCATAAAAACCTTAACGCTTATAATTCTGGCCGGAAGTAGAAAATAAGAAGTGATAGTAAAGATTTAAAATAAAATAAACGTTAGTAAAACTTAAGATCCTTACAATACAAGCATTTATTTCTTTTATTATAGATGTAAATCAATGACCAGTTCCTAAAGTATTGAAAGATAAAAGTCAAGGAAAAAATTCTCAGTTCATAGTGCCAAAGTATTTTGTTAATAATGATAAAAATTCAATTAAAAAAGATAACTCATGTTATTATGTAGAATTGATGCTAAAATTCTATATTAGAAACAAGTATCGATTGATTGTGTTAGGTAGAATTAAAGAATAACCAGTCGGGCGGAAATTTATTAAATGCATAAAACATAACAAAAGCCAGCACTGTATTTATTCATCCATTTCAAAAATTGTGGATTTTCTATCCAACTTTCTTCAAATATGTGAAATCAGAAAAAACTCTAAAATTGTAATTTTTTCCAGAGAAGCATTTCCATCCTCAGAAAAATAAATGTTAAAAAGAATTGAAATACAAAATTTGTGGATTTTATGCAGAAAGTGAAAAGAAAATCATTATTTCATTATAATTTTAATCATAAAAACAGATCTGTTTAATATTATTTTTCGTAACAATAACAATAGAAAAAATATTTCTTTAAGTATGTCCAGTGATATTAAAAATAGATTTAAATTTTGATTTTGACTTGCAGATGCCCCAGAGGAGCTGCATGAGATCTAAATTTCTCTGAAACATAGTTTGGAAACCTTCAAACTACTTGCAAACTTTAAATTATGTGGAAAAAAGAAATGTAGATGTAAACAGCACTAATTAAAAAGTTTTAATCACCTAAAATATTTTCATTCCATCAGATTGTTTATTTTGAAAAAGACACTGTAGAGACATTAGGATTTTTTTTTTTTTTTTTTTTTTTGGAAGCTGAGAGGCGGTGAAACACGAGCAATCCCTTCCCGCGACTCGAACCATGGACCTCTAGAATATGTGCCGAGTGTGCTGATCATGACGAAGGCAAGAGAAATACCTTATAACACAATCCGATAATAAGATCACAAATAGAAGATAAGAATTTTTTTCTTCTGGAAAATTTTTAAAAAATATTCATATTGCATATATACAAGCCTATACCATAAACTGTATCATATATAAAATTCTTGGATTATCTAATGAGGAAAAAAAAAGTAATAAATGTAAATATTTCAATAAATGAATGGATGAAAAATGGCCTTAAACAACCAATAGAGAAATTAATGCCAACAAAAACATTATTATTGGAAACAAATGTAAATAAACACAAATTGCCTAATGTATTCTAATTTGAATATCTGTTTTGGAACGAAAGGTGTAAACAGCCTTAATGTGCTTAATAACTCAGATTTGTGTATGCATATATTTTTATTTCCAATGGTAAGACAAATATGTATATATATGTAACATATTATCAAAGTACACATACACAAAAATATTATCGCACACTTAATAACAAACAGAGAATAAGGGAAGCCTATTTAGTGCTTGAACGTACTATTTAGTACCTTCTAGTAACAGTCACAGAGATCCTGTACAAAGAGAGCTATGAATTTCGCAGGTGGTGGAGGTTGTATCTTGAGCCTTTATTACAAAGGATGATCACAGAATTTTCAAATAGAAAGGTTTCGCTGAATAATGATAAAAGATAAGTTATTATGATGTAATTAGCCTTTGGGTATCGTTTTTTTCTATGGAAGTGGTTGTTTTAGGGAGAGGATAATTGATGCCAATGTTATTCATGTTGTTAAATTACCACTTTTGTCGTCCTGGTACTGTTCTCTGTCTATACATTTTGAATCTGAAATAAGGCATTCATCACGGCATGCACACTGGGTGTAAGGAAAGAGAAGCAACAGAAGAAACTGGAGAGTTTGGTTTAAATGATAAAAACCAAATCCTTAATACCACTATTGACAGAGAGAGACCAAAATGCAAATAAGAAGCAAATTTCCTTAAAAGCTAACAACGAAGAGGGATTAAAATTAGACTCAATGGTTAAAACCATGGGATTTTTATTGACATAAAACATCAAATGTGAAATGAAGTGGTGTCTCCACCCCGCCCCCCACTATAATTTTTCGATGTGGAGAAATGGAAAACATGATTTTTTTAACTAGCAATCGTAGGCAATGCAGAATTTATGAATTTCTTTTCTTTGAACATAATTTTGTGTTTTTCAGTACAAAATTTAGGACATGCATCTCTGCTGTTTGGAGGAAATTAAAATAGAACTCTGTGAACATAATTAAAAAAAAATACAGATCACTAAAATAAATAAAAATTTAGATTCTTTTCTTGTGTTCTAACATATGTAATTATAGTTATTACTTCAGAAGATTCTAATATTTATTTTATAATCATGCATTATTACTACTTAGACAACAATACAGATATATATAAATTTTCACTATTTTTTTACTGTCATTACATGCACAAGTGCTGTTTTTTATTAACAAGAGAACTGAACAAAGCATATCAATACTTTGGTATCAGCAATATGAGTAAGTCTCTGTTTATTAATACTTTTAAAGTTCTCACGATGAATTAATTCGAATAATGGAAATAATTTACTGTAGCATAGAGATTTATTCGTATTGCGTCCACTCTCGTATACAGCAAGAAAAAAAATTAAATATGAAGAGCGGCTCTTATCAATTCCGCAAGATTTTCCACATACAACCTTACCACAATTCCGCATAAAACGTAAACAAAGTATCGAGACTTCGTAATCGATTAAAAAGCGCAAAGCTATCAGCTATTCGTCATCGATGGGGAAAGGAAAGTCTGGGCCATCTGAAAAAGCGGCGACCGCGGAGATAGTCATTGTCCGAATAACCTCCGTTGCCACTTATGCGAGATGACCTTCGCGATGAATAGCAGATCTTTCCTTTCCTTTTCCACTATTGCCGTGTGTAGCTTGCAGATAGCAAGCTGTATACCGGCTGTCATGAATTAATAAGTAGACTGCAGGTATAGCAAATGCATGAGTCCAGAGGACACGATGCAAAGTGAAAGAGGGCGTGACTACTTTGTCACGTGAGGCATAGCGTATCTGGTAGGCTGGAGAGATGCTGGTCCAAGTTTCAGGAACAGTGTGCATTTTTACAAATATTCAGTGCATTTTTCTCACAATTAGAAAGACTATATACAAAAATAAAATACGTATTTACAAAGTAAAAGTATGCAGGGAGTCCAGCAGAAGCAGTCAAAGATATCTCTTAGTAGAGGTCTTCTGATTGGCTGTTGAGAATGTGTATGCGAAAATCATCGAAATTTGCTATTTACAAAATATTCAATTGCAGAGACATAAAAAACATATTTTTCCAGTAAACTAGAAGTTGAAATAAATAAAATAAAAGAAATTTGAAACCAATAGGAGCAGTGAGAGATCTACAATAAGCAGTAGAAGACTTGAGTTCGTAGTCACGTGGGAGGTCACCCTCCCGTGCCTTGACCCCGATAGTGGCTGCTTAACTTTAAGCATTTCAGTATTACAAGTAAACACAGGGTAAAAACTTAGGTTGGAAAGTTCTGATTTTCATTGAGGATAAATGCAGTAAATGGTCTAAGGTGCCTGTCTTCGTGGAATATTTCATATTCAAAGAGGTTAAATTGACGCATATGATTGCAGTCCTGGGCTTCTCTGAAGAAATTCTGATTTTGCTTTGCGATGAACTTATCTAAGCGGTCGATCTTGAGATCATCTTGTAGGCACTTATTTGTCACGAAATAACGGGCATTCGTGATAATCCTGAGATAGCGATTCTGCACAACACATAATTTATTGAGATCAGTTTTGGTGAGGGCGGCCCAGGCTAAGGAAGCTTAAGTCATGATCGATCTGAACGTAGACGTGTAGATGAGCCGCTTTTTTCCTAAGTCGAGAGTGGAGTATTTACCAATAACTGAGAAGAGATATTAGATAATTTGTAAAGCCTTATCCCTGACGTAATTTATATGGTTAGTCTACGTTAAGCTATCATTTATAATCACTCCGAGGTACTTGGTGTGGGGAACAATTTCGTTAAATAGTCCTCTTTTGACAGGTGTGTTCCTTTTTCTTCTGCGTATGAGAACAGCAGAAAAGAGAACAAATTCTTTTATATTATTCCCTAGTCTCTTATCTGAAAATTAACAAAGGCGACCTACAGGAAAAGTTGCAAAAGAGTAGTAGTTTCCCTTTACAATGGCAGCTAAAATGGGGGGAGGTGGAAATACATTTGGATTTCCCGTCTTTTTTCAAGTGAAACCTTTCCAAACTCCCCGTCTCTTAAAGGTTAAATATTCCTCTGGTAAAATGTTTTCAGTCTGTTCTTCAGCTGTGTGTAAGTTTGACGTCATTACATTGGCATCACAGTTTTCGTATTCCTCGATTTTAATATCTAATACTAATAGTTTCCAATCTTCTTCATCCATAATCACAGTTTCATCCTCATTTTCATAGTCAAAACTCTCACTTGGGTTTGAAAATTCCCCTTTATTAAAGCAATTTTTAACCATTCTTGGTTTTAATTTAGTCCAAATAAGTGATATCAAATTCATAGCCTTAAAAATATTAATTGTTTTGTTTGTGTCCTGTAGTTATGTTTTGAAGGGTTACTTGAATCGACCTTTGCCTGTAGAGCATTTTCAAACTCTTAATGACACCCAGATTTAAAGAAGGTACTACACTAATGCAATTTACAGGAAGAAAACAACTTTCAAATTTCAAGACATCTATCCTTTGAGGATGGGCAGTACATTGGTCCATAAAAAGTGGACGTTTACGTCATAATTTCGTCTTGAGCCATTCTGTAAAAATGTCCATAACCATCCAAACTTTCATATTAGCTTTTAATGGCAGAGTTGTAATATTTTTGAAGCACCTTGGTTTTTGTGAATTTCCTATAAATATAGGAGTCATCTTTCCCCTACCATCAGCATTTGCACGGAGTAAAACTGTGAAACGTTCCTTACTTTCCTTAGATCCGTGACAGTAGTCACCTTTGAAAGCTAAGGTTCGTGCAGGCATAAGGAAAAGAGCAGTTTCATCAACATTAAAAATGTCCTTTAATTCATATCCATCTGTTTTGTCGGATAAATTCTTGAACCACTCTTCAACTGACTCAGAAAGAAGCTTTTGAGTTCTCCATTTATTACATGACATGAGATTCCATGACGCAGTTTAAATTTATGCAGCCATCCAGTTGAGCAAAATTTTTTCACATTCAATTGAAATGTTACTTCTTTTGCCTTCTTGATTAACATGGGGCTATTCACTTGAATATTGGACAAAGAACATCGGATGAAAAAGTTTAGCAAAATGACTTCGACCTCAGGAAACTTCCCATCTTGCATATGCAATATCTTTGAAGCTGACTGTCCACAAATTTGTGATCTTTCTTCAACTTCTTTCTATCATAAACAACCGTTTTTAGTGTTATGCACAGGAATATCCAGTTTCTTTTTTAACTCAACTTTAGTCATATCTAGATTTGCCAGATTTCAGAATTATTCAACCGAAACACGGGACAACTGACTGACTGATCTTTATTTCAAACGGCTAGCGCCGAGGTGGGCGACTCCAATGTTATTACACACGAGAGGGTGTAGTGTGTAGCAACGTCTCTTCTGGCGGTAAAGCTACACTTCTTAGTGCCCAATATTGGCCTCACCATGAAAACCTCTCGTATCGCGCATGGTCACGCTTCGCGAGAAAAGACGATATGATGATAATATTATTTATTAGCCTACCATCACTCTGCTATAGTTTTTCACTTCTCATACAGTACAGAAATAAATGACAAAGTAATTATCTTAAATAATCCTTCATAGTTAATTATTTTTAGACTTTTTTTTGTCATTTATAAAACCAAATTTAATTTTTACCGGGACGTGAAGTAAACCGGCTGGGACATCTGGATTTTGTCTGAAAACCGGGACGTCTGGCAAGCGTACTCATACTAGTATCCTTATCAAATTCGTTTAGGATTTTAACTTTGTCTTTATAACGATAGTGCCTTTCGCTTTCGTGACCTTTTGTATCAATTAATTCTACTCCATCTAGTATACTTAACACAACGTCCTGTTCAGAAGGAATCAAGTTTTTCTTCCAAGTATCCTCTCTATTCATAAACTGGTTTTTCAACTCCTGTACCTAGACAGTGAATTCTCAAGCCTTTGTTTCCTTTTTCTATTTCCATTTCTGGGGAAAATACTTGAAAGGGGGGAATGCGAAATGTAAAACCAATGCAGTAAGTCAAATAAAATCAACGGGTGACTGAAGTTATACTACGTGTAAAAGAAATATTTTACTATTAAAATAATAAGTAGGACTGAATCGGGAGCAAGATAAAACGACGTATAAATGTAAAAGACGTATGAACAAGAGTCATATAAAGGGTGCTCCATTGTATTTGATTTAAAATGAAAAGTAAATATAATCTTTTTCTTTCCCTATAGCTTTTCGACATCCTTTTTAATAGAACCAAAAAAAAACTGCTCAAAAAGAACAGCAAAATATGTCAGTTCTTTTGGGTGTACAGTTCTAGACTTTAATTAAATATAGAATATTATCAGGATCATGGCTCCAGAACTTTAGAGATTAAACAGTATGCTACAAATTAGCGAGAGGAAATGGATTCACAGTTCATGACACTGTATTAAATATTAAACTGAGTATGGGAAAAATTAATTTTCACCGCCTTTTCTGTTCTGTGAGCATTAAATAATTAAACAGCATAGAATGAAGAGATTCTTCGAAACTCGATATTTGTCTGTGGAAACGGGTGCAACGAACATTCAGCAGTTAAAAATTTTTATAGGATTTAAAATTTTGTAATGTTTGAGGACTGGCTTACGACAAAGATTTTACAACAATAATTGCATTATTTATCGGAAAATAGTAAACTATTCATGAAATTATTTGGATGTGTAGAAATAACGAAGTTTGAACCAGCTTTCTGCCATGTTGAACAAAGAAAGAAAATATTTAACTTTTTTAGTTCGAAATTTAAAGCTACATTTTTAGGTGAGAGAGTGACTAGAGCAGTGGGTCTCAACCCTTTTGTGTCCTATGTAGCTCTTTCTCTGTTGCCAAACGATCATTTCCTCTCTTCTTTTCGAAACCTCGAAAATTACATATACATTTAATTAAATTTAGATTACTTTTTAATGTGTTTTATGAATTAAAAGCGAAAAAGTATAAATATCGAAACGTAGAAAAAATAGCTTTTTATATTCATAAAATAAAACTAAATATTTAACCTCATTTTCTCTGAGAATGTGAAGTTAGCCCTAAGGGGGAATTCCCCCACTGGTTCAAAACCCCTGGACTAGAGCCTCCACTTAGATTAGAGACATTTTATCCCCACCAGCAGCTGAGATCGACCACTCATATTTCGACTTCTCTGAAACCTCAACAAGCGGGTAATCTGCAAGGAAGTTTTCCTTGATTTCTCCACGTATAACGTGAATACCAGTAAATCTCCATTAAAAAAAAGTCCACGAAAGTAATCTAACCTTAGGCAAATAGCTCTCGCGCTTTTTGCTATAATAGAAATAACGCAGTCGAGTTCATTTAAGCATTTCATAAAGTTGCTTGGAAAACTAGGCAACCTTATGAAATACCTTAATTGAAAAAAATATTGAGTTCATTTTGCTTTGGAAAAAAAAATCTGATACGGACACCACATGACTTTCTTGTACGGCCTATTAAATTAATCACATTTTTTGTTGCATTTCATTTAAACTTATTTCCTCGAATTTCATTAGAGGTATATTTCTCATTCAGGTGTGCGACGTAGATCTACCTCCTCGTGGTGCAATCTGGAAATACTTTGCGGCTAAGTGATCAACTGTTTTGCCATACAGCCTTTCTACTCTTCGTCCATGAAACATAAGCTTCTACAGTGGAACGCCAGTGACTTTACCCAGTCCAATAAAATCCAGATTCAGCGATCTTTACTAAGTATAATATCGGTCTTTTTTTGCAATCATAGAAACTAACATAACTAAGAACTCTATTACGTTCTATCCTTTTCCAGGATATACATTGTATCTCCTTCCAAAATACAAGCAGATTGCTAGCGGCATATTGATTGCTGTCAGATCTTATCTCTGATTTTAAAATTATTAAATTTATGGAAGAGAGATTTTAAGAAATTATGGAAGAGAGTGAAATTGTGAAGATTCAAATATGGAAGAATGCGAACCTTTTCAAATTCTTTGCCCTCTACATCCTTCCTAACAGCAAGCCAGATTTGTCCAGTAGGTATCTTCAAAAACAATTATTATTGGCGACTTGAACGCTCACTCAAGAAGGTGGGGGTTATAAGCAACCAAATGCTGCTGGATTATAATTTGAGGATTTCCTAAATTTCAGTTTTTTTTAGCTTATTTTAAACCCCCCGATGACCCACCTACTTACATCCATTACAACGGCTCGGGTTAGTTCACCAGACTTGTTATGTGTATCATCTGATATTTGTGCTTCTACTGAACGGAGGGTTCTGGAGGATCCAGGTTCAGGATACAGGTAAGTCATCGCCTCTATTAATGTCCGCAACCCAGCAGGCCGATTTAAGTCAAATATAAAGAAATCCTGTAACTTTAAAAAAGCAAATTGGGTCAATTTTGAAAAAAAAAAAAACTACTAACAGAAAACTCGGGGAAGCGAATTTCGATCATTCACTTACTCCGGAAAAACTGGTTAATAACTTAATAAAGGCATTTCTGTTTTCTGCTAAAATACATGCACACCACGCGGCTATAAGTGCTTCTGGTCCCCTAAATTGGAGGAACATAAAGAGAAACGGGACCAACTAAGAAGAAAAGCTGAGCTCACTAAAAAGGAGTCTGATGTTGTTGCATGGCGAAAGCAGGTTAGCTTGGTAAAACGAAAGCTGTAATACAAGTCAAACGTCAGTCCTTTGAAGATATTATTTCTCCACATTGATTATAAAAAGAATAGTTTAAAACTTTTTAAGTTTATTTCTAACATCCAAAATCGTAAACCCTCGTGTATTACGAATCCGATTTCCGTTGCAAATAAATTGCTGTCTTCGGATAAGGCCGTTGCAAAAGCCTTTGAACAATTCTATTCCCAGTTCCAGCGAAAAGGAAAATATGCGAGAGAAATGTCAAGGAAGATTAATATTGAATGGAAAAGGTTAATCAAAAAGCAGAATGCTGCGCGGGGAGGTTATTTTTGATGCTCTCTTTAGTGCATAAGAGCTGTAACTCGCATTTAGACGGCTTAAAATGAAGAAATCTTCTGGTGTGGATCATATCCATACAGAGTTTCTTATCCATTTGGGCAATGAGGCAAGAAAAACAGTATTGAATGTCTTTAATCGAGTATGGGAGTCAAGTCAGATCCCTGCACATTGGGAAAGAGCTATTGTTATTCCAGTTCTAAAGAAAAATAAGAACAGCGAACAGCTGAACAGTTATAGGCCTATATCGCTTACAAGTATTCATGCGAAAACTGTGTAAAAACTTGTGGTAAACCGTTTGAACTGGTATTCTTGAAGAATATAGTATTTTAGGTGTAGAACAGGCTGGTTTCCGAAAGAATAGGTCAACGCGTGAAGAGGTGACAAAATTCCGCATGTTTATTAAGGATGCTTTGTATGACAGAAACATTTTGACAGCTGCTTATGTTGATTTTAAGGGGGCTTGTGGTTCTGTCTGGAGGAAAAAGCTTTACAAAATGCTCCTCAGTATTGATGTCTCATCAAAATTATTTAGTTGGATTAGGTCTTTCACAAGCAAGAGGACATGCAGGGTAAAGTTTGAAAATTCCTTCTTCAAATGTTTTCATTTACAAACTGGGTTTCCTCAGGGAGCAGTTAGTAGCTGCACCTTGTTTAATATATATATATCAACTATAAAGTTTTTCCTCTTAAATTAACACTCGGTATTAATTGTCTGCTATTTGCGTATGATTTGGTAATTTGGACCGAGGCTCCAAAACATGGTGCAAAAAGCCTTATTGAAAGCCGATTAGGCCATGCAGATGCTTTCGAATTGGTGTGAAAAAATTAAAATGACTGTAAGTTTGGAAAAGATAGCTTCACAGTCTTTTTCTCTAACCCATGAAATTTTTCGCCGAGAGTTAAAGTACCAAGATACTTTGATTACCAGCACGGGTAACTATACTTACCT